TTCAAATGGCACTTCACCAATACCATCGCCAACATCAATGGTCTCTCATAAACGCATCGAACTAATAAAATCAATGATTTATGAATTCATTAGAACTTTATTAGAAGTTGAAATTGAAAACTTGGATAGGTTAAATAAGACTGGTCATCATGATCCATCAAATAGTGGTGTCCCTTATAACCACTTGGACAATCTTAATATGTTATCTAATGATACTGGTAACGGTTATGACACGCGTGGGGATGAACCGTCGGTACAGTTACGGGTTATTAAACATCGTAAAAGTGGTAAAGAACAATTGAGAAATGCGTTTAGACGTCGTTGGTAGTTACCTCTCGACTTTACACGCATATATATATATATATATATATTAACTTTTTAAAAGAATTAGAATAAAATAGAATTTTATTTTAATATAATATAAAATATTATCTTTATATATGTTGCGCGTCAGATGCATCTTTACGTCTAGGCTAAAACGATATCCTTACGTCAGATGGCTAATAGGCTAAACGATATCCATACTCTCACTCTAACTCTCACTTTAACTCTTACCCTAACTCGCTAACTCTTACCCTAACTTAAACTTTGCCCTAGCTTGCTAACTCTTACCATAACTTAGACTTTACCCTAACTCGCTAATTCTTACCCTAACTTAACCTTACCCAACCCTTACCATAACCTAGACCTTACCCTAACTCGCTAACTCTTACCCTAACTTAAACCTTACCTTAACTCGCTAACTCTTACTCTAACTTAGACCAGACGCCATCTAACACACGGATTCATCTGAGCACAACATATACGTATATTAATATAGTAATGTTTTATTATTACGTACGTACGTACGTACAAAATTTTAAATAATGCAACATGTATAAAATTCAGGTTTATAAACAATAGACAATTCAAGTCTTTCGAAATTGCAATATTTACAACCTTAATTATATTAGTCAGTCATTCATTTTTTTTAGACTAAGTTTAACGGAATAAGTTAAACATAAAAATGCATTAATTTCTCAAATTATTTTTATCTGAAAAATAAAAAAGTTTAACACTCGATTTATCATTAAGGCTGTTGATGGAGCAGGGATGGTAAATGACTTAATGGCTAGTGATCAGTCATTGGTCATTTCGACCGGGGTAAAATCGCCACCCAAAAAAACTAATACAATTTAAATTTTGTTTAATTATATAAATTTATTTATTAAAATTAATATAATATTGTCAATTCATCATAATTAGGATCATGATAACAAGACGTGCGCCTGCTAAAGTTTGAAATTGATTATATTTTTTACACGTGAAAACTGATTTTAAACCTGTTTCATTATATGAACAAATAAGACCGATTCCAAGTTCACTTGGGATTAATATATTTTGTGTTAGGTTTGACAGATTTTCACTGATCGACAATTTTTTTAAAGTAAAAAACGCTACATTAGGGTTAGGTTTACAATTATAATGAGGGTTGTTTTATACTAAAATTTTGCAAGGAATTTTTTTTACTAATGCGCAGAAAGTAGTTACATAGACGAAATTTTGAGTTATAGCGGTTTTTTTTAAAAAACGTGATTTGTTGTTTTGATTTCACGTTACACCTGATCTTGTAATCTAATTGGTCAATCACTGTCGATCAGTGAAAATCTGTTGGTGCCACTGGGGGGG